CAACTTTCTGCAAGCCTTTTAAGCAATTTGTCACATACTTGGCGTACATTCAAAGAACAAACAACCACACATAATCACGTTCAAAATCAACACCACATCGGAAACCCACCACTTGGGAAAAACCGGAAGTCATCAATCCGGACATATCACTAAGCAAAGAAGGTTCTTATAGAGAATACATACACAAGCTCAAGAATTCCTAGATCTATAGGAAACAACTCTACATTTTGTGCAACCTTCTTCTCTAGCTCAACCAAGCTATGAACTAGTTCTTCATGGAAATGGCATCTTCAGCTCCAACTTCTACACTCCGTGGCACCAAATGCTCAGCTTAGGTTCAAAATGAAAAAGGATTGATCCCTTCAAGAAACCATATTCTTGAAGAAGCCAATCAAGAATCTGACCTAGATCTATATGTTTTTTTTCTTCAGTTGAAAGACCTAGATCTAGATGTATCAAATGCTAGATGCAGAAGTTGAAGAACAAAGCAGATTTCAAAAACAGTTTGAAAATCTCATTTTGAAAACCATGACCTCACTATGTAGAAAATGCAGAGTAACAGTTTTACTCTAAAAAGTTCTCAATGGGTGAAGTAGAATTTAAAAACATAAGCAGCTTTCAAAATGAAATCTTGAAAACTCATTTCTATGTCATGAACACTATCACAAGAAAAGGCAGAGCTACAAAAAGATGGTCTCAACAATGTATTGATTTAGATTCGAAAATAAGAATTGATCTCTTCAAGATTTCTATGTCATGAACACTCTCACAAGAAAAGTTAGAGCCTCAAAAAGATGCTTTCCACAATGTTTTGATTTATTTATGAATGAAATGCAAGACTAAGTTCTTATTTAGAAATAGATGTAAATTTTATAAATCAAAACCATGAAAAATCCATTTATGCATCAAGAACACTTTCACCCAAACCAAAGAGAAAACCAAGTTTTTCAAAATAATGCAAATGAAAGTGATGAAAGATTAAAACTCCATATCACTAAAGAAAAATTTGAGAAATGATTTTCAATGAAAGCCCCAATAAGAATTCAAGAATCCATGATCTCTTCTCCCAAAAAGCAAAACCTAATTTATGCCCAGTCTCTCAATAGAACTCTCTCTCTATCTCTCTGTCTCAAAGCCCATATGAAAATTGTAAAAAGAGAGAGTTTAGTGAGTCTATACCAGCTCCAGCATTTTTGGTAAAATTTGGCAAGCTAAAAGGACACTTGGCAACAAATGGTTTGCGTTATAATAGGAGAAATATAGAAAAAATATGTACTGGAAACATTTGGTATATATGCCTAGTAAACTAGAAAAAGTATTTTGATGCAGATGATGATGTTCTTAATGGTGCCCATTATAAATGAATGCACATTACTTTAGTTTTGTAGCCTCATAAGGTCTTCAATATACTTCAACTTTGTAACAAATACCAAGTCTTAATTTTCTAAAGATGAGCTAAGAGAAATTACATGAAAGTATACATTTGGCAAGGAAAACCAATTCTAAGAATCTAAAACCTAACACAACTAAATTGCTATCTTTTGCTTTGATCCATTACTTGTTCCGTACGTGTCTCTCTATTTTTCTTTCTATTCTCTTGTGCCTCCTTGGCTCAAAAAAGGGGTATATCATAGAATCAAAGTTCTCGTAGCTCGACTTGGATATCAATAAAATATATACCAATATGCTATAGCAGTAGTCATAAAAGTAAAGGAAAATAATTTTCCATTTAGAAAACAAATTCAAAGTAAAGAGTAATCTTTGTTGATACACTTACCAACATAGATGCAGAAGTAAAAAATAAATAAATAATCCAAAATAAATTTATGGACTAATTTTTTGAGAACCTTTCCTATTGAGGGGCGATAATATACTAAACTCACACACACTGTACAGATGCTAGGACTTGAACCCAGAATCTTGTCTTGAGGAGCAATTGCTCCAAACTCCTACACTAGTGGATCCTTTGCGGACTAATTTAAAATACTTAATAAGGGGCATCATCGAAAAGTTTACCTCACAATAGATGAAACCTAATCAGTTTCAATATAACTTTGATCAAAGTCAATATATCAATTTTTGTTTAAGTCATCAATTTTTTTTAAAACAATATTCTAAAAGCTAAATTAAAGAGAAAAATGAGATAAAATATTTTGATCTGACGACTAAAGTACGTCAAGGGTTACGTACTTACTTACAATTCTTATTGTATATATTAACCTTCAAAAAGACAAACAATATTTCAACAACAAAAGTTATGTACAAATCAATGGAGAAAAACCATTTGAGAGTAATGTTAGTTTCAGGATGGAATGTTGATTATCCTAGCCGTAGTGCGAGTAGAAGATACTACATCACCCTATTTTTCTCCTTCACTTCCCTCTCATCTCCTACCTTCTTCAGTGGATGGACTCGGATCCTCTTTTCATCGTGAATTCCTTAAACAACACAAAAAGAACCTTAAGTTAGAATTAAAATGTGCGAAACTAGTCATTGGAATATGTATACATCTGGAAGAATCAAAAGTAGATTTCATGGAGTGTATATATGAAAGTTCATATCGACGACTGTGTTAGAAGAAATAGGAGTTTCAGAAATTAGGGTGCTTTTGGTACTTTACGAAATCTATGCTGGCAAATATTTGATTTGGTATTAACAACCTTATGCCATTCTCTTTCTTTATGGACACAAACGTTCACGCTTAATCGTCCACATGATGCCTAAAATTGCATATTTTAAAGGTATTTTAACATGTATCACATCGATTTCTACTCCCCCTAATTGATCTAATTCCTAGTTTTTAGGGTATTCGATTACAGATTTTAACATGGAATCCACACAAGTTTTTAATCCGTATGTGCTAATAAACGTAGGAGAAGACATGAATTAGAATAATTCCAATACCCATTCCTAATGAGTAAACATGCGTACTATAAAGGTTAAAGTGGAATTTGGATAACATATGGTCAGTGGCTCATTATCATAAACTTCACTTTCAATCTGAAGTGTGTATATCACTAGTACTTAAAAAAATTCTCTCCTTTATGGTTTGATATGATACTCAATCTGGATCCTCCCAGCCTTAGGATTGGCAAGTAACTTGAAAGCATCTTCAGAAAGATTGATCGTTCCACAACCTTTTGTTTGACAATAGTCCACAATTATAACTTTAGCATTATAATTTTTATCTTTACAAGGTTCTGATATTCCACTATAATTTATGGCCCCAATACAGCGGACCTTGTAATAGCGACCACACGCTTTCTTGTTCTTCCATATAACATCGCTCGCAGCTGCAGAGGCTAAAAAAGGCAAAAAACATCATATTTAATATTTGGAGCTTTGACCTATACAAGCTCTTTTTGTCAATGAGGGAGAGGGAATTTGAGTTTCGGACGTCTTTCAATGTTGGGAAAAGAAGTATCACTAAATCAAGAGTTAGTTTGTATATATAAGATAACATTAAACGTTATCAAAAGGAACTTGTTACATGTATTTTTGTTGGTGTTATTACCTATAAATAGGCAAGAGTACAGTCAAAACAGTTTTTCTATGTCTACACACTTGGTGGTGATTAGACATTGATTATGATAATATAGAATTTCTTTCTAAATTAATTCCAAATTAAATTCATTTCAAGGCGATAAAAATTGGGTTTGCAAATGTGAGTAAGGTTAAATGGACATGGCAGTTAGATTAATTTAGAGTAATTTAGACTATTGCTTGTATAAAAATAAATAAATAAAAAAGATAAAAAATGAAGTGGGTTAAAACCTTACAAAAAATAAAAGAAAGAAACCCTAAATCCTAAATTTAAAATCCGAAATTAAATTTATTCCCTAATTAGAACCTAAAATTCGACACTGATTGAAAGTCCATGAATTAGAAAGAAACCATAAGTTAGAAGAAGAATTGAACAAGAACAAGAGTTAAGAAGAACTTGACTGGGCTTTAAAATGGTTTTTTATTTTTGGTCTGAATACGTGAAACTTGGAAACACTGAGCTGGGCTAGGCTCCAACATACCTCAACCATGACTTGCGCGGAAAAAGCTGAAATTGAAACCCTTCAACCCAACTTGATGGGCTTTGGTAAAACAACTAAAACCCTTTCCAACCAAGTTGAAGGAACTTTAAGTTTTGTTTGCAATTTTTTATTTTTTTATTTTAGAACAGAATCCTAAATTAGTAAAGTTGTACAAGATCTTGTCAAGAACTATCTTCATTTGAGTCCACTACTATACATTGAAAATTTTTTTGCTTACCACTTTAACTCAAGGTGTATGCTCACTATCCTTCTTAATACTTGACACATGTTCATAAACATAATTATAGTTAATTTTTTACTTTGATTTATGTAACTATGGTTATGTTTATGGACACGTGTCAAGTGTTGAGAAAGATGATGAGCATACCTTGAATTAAAATAGTGAGCAAATATGTTTTTGCATTAATTTTACAATATTTGGTTTTCCTTATATACGTGAAGTAACTCATGTGGTTAATAAATTTATCAAAAGTACCTTTGGGATCCACATTTGTGACCAATTTTAGTCAATTCTCAATTCTATATGCGCCTCATTGATTGGCTTCCATAATTTAGTGCAATTGGAGATTTGATCTTGTCATGTTAAACATGTGAGTGGGAGCAAAGGAAAGCACCTAAAATTAGTTAAATCACACTGATGGTATGCAGTCAATCATGAGATTAGGATTAAGGAAACATTTTTTTTTTTTTTAATTTAATGGAAGTATTGACCCAATTCTCATAACATTTTTATTTATTTTTCCATTAGGAGAGAGGAAATTCAATCTTGGAAACTCTTTCAATATTTAGGATAAAAGAACCGTTAAACCGAGAGTGAGTTAGTGTTTCTCATAACATTTCTATTAAAGCGAAAGTGTTTGTTGCTAGCAAGTATTTGTGACAGTGCACTATCTTGATAAAAATATGCATCTGCTTAAAGCATATATTTACAACACTAACTATATAATATAAACATTTTCAACTCATTGAATGCTTATGCTTTCTTCTCATGCCATTTGCCATTTAACCAAAAATTTCCTAAATGCTTAATTTCATCAATAGAAAGCATATCATTACTAATCTTATTTTCAGTCAGTTACATCTATTCAGTAGTTATTTCTGATAAACAACCCTTAAGGCTAGGCCCAATATGCCCATGAACACCACAGCATTCCTTCATGTAGCTTTTGCAGCACCCTCCTACTTCTCTCTTCTCTAATACACAAGCATGAATTGCCACCGATTTCGAGCAACTCGCTTCCTCTTCTCTTGTCTCTGAGCTGATGCAAGAGTGCGTAGGGGATGATTCTGTGTGGTCATTGCGCGGTACGATATCAATGGTTGTGTGAGGAGGTGTTTTTTCATCTAGATTATGGTGGTGGTGCTGATGATCACAGCTTGTTCCAGCCAATTTTCCTGATGCTTCATTGCCAATATGATATTTGCCACAATGGGTTGGGTGGCAATGACCAAAACTTGCCAAGTTTTTGCAGTGTTTTGCCCCATGGAGTCCATGACCTTGCTTTGTACCATGCTCTTTGCCACAGTGACTTGAGTGGCGATGAGCAGTGCTTGCAGATTTCTTGCTTACCTTCAAAGGAAAAGCAGAACGATTGCGGCGATTCGCCTCATGGAGCCCATCACCTTCATTTCTACTATGCTCTTTGCCACAGTGGGTTGAGTGGCAATGACTATTGCTTATAGGTTTTTGGTTTTCCTCCAAGAGAGTAGAATGGTTGCAGTGTTTTTCCTCATGGATTTTATCACCTTCTGCACAATTTCCATGACTTCCAACCAAGTCTGTGCAACCATCTTCTGCACATGAGCTCAAATTGTGAGGGCTTGAACAACCATGGTTGTGTTTGTTCTGTGACTCCAGATCACGATTGAGTTTCATGCAGCTTGCTCCATCACAATGCCTTGCCTCATGTAAGTCATCATTGTGCTTATGATTACCGGGAAAGCTCGAATTCAAAGGACTAGGTTGGCATTCTGATCCACACTTCTGAGAAGAACACTTTTGAGGCTTGCAGGCTTTTACAGCTTTGCTCTCAGAGCAACAATGCTGATTTTTGTGAGAGTGGCTACGTCCATGGCTTCCATGTTTATGAGCATGTAGCGCAGAAGAATTTTTTCCACATTTGCCTCCATGCTTTTGGGTTCCTTTTAAAAGTAGCATGCTGTTGAGGATCACAAGCATGCATGTCCCAACATCAGCAAGAACTGCAGCCCAAACAAGTGGATGACCTGCAAATCCCAGTGCAAGGATTGCAACCTTAGTAGTGATTGACAAAACCACATTCTGAATCACTTTTCTATTAGCTCTTCTGGCAAGCTTGACTGCTTTTGCTAGTTTTCTAATGTCATTTGACAGTAGAATTATGTTCCCAGTTTCTTGAGCAAGGGCTGATCCGGAAATGCCCATTGAGATACCGATATCAGCTGTAGCTAAAGCTGGGGCATCGTTGATACCATCTCCGACCATCACTGTACTTCCTTCTGTCTTAAATTTTGTAATGATTCTTGCCTTGTCTTCAGGTAGAAGTTCTGCATGGACTACCTCAAGAGCTTGCTTAAGCTGCACATCAGATAAATTTTCTACTCTTAATTAGCTAATTTTTTCTTAATTTGAAAAGAAATAATAAAGTGATCCATTAACTGAGTTCAATCACAGCATAGCAAATTTTAACAAATCAGTTTTGGCTGCAAATGGAGGTTCATTGCCCGAAATAATTCATAGCAACTGAGCTTTCCATTTGTTCCTTGAATTGATTCAGTTAACAAGACATTACTGCAAATTCAATGATCATCTATGGACAACAGTTACACTAGATTAGGCAAACCCAAAAGACTTATTGAATGGGTAGAAAGACATCAACCAAGAGGGTAAGCAAAACACTAACAAAGGATAAATAAAACATAAAAGCATTCCAGTTTGGTTCAGGCATTAGATAGATCCATCACCCTAAAACATGCGAATCCAAGTGGCTATAATGAAGACTAGGTATGTGTGCGCGCGCGCTCGTGTGTGGATATATGTAATGAGGGTAGAAAATTAGAAATAATGCACCTGCTCATTTGTATGCAATGCTGCAGCATGACTATCTCCTGTGAGCATAGCTGTTTTAATGCCTAACTTCTTCAGTTCCCTGCAAGCCTCTGCAGCCCCAGATCGACAAGTATCAGATATTGTAAAGATTCCGGCAGGGGTTCCTCCAGAGTATATGTATCCAATGGTCTTCCCACCCTTACCACCTTCAATGGTTGGAACTGAAATTTCAAAAAGAACTAATGATGAGAGATCCAGAAAGAAAAAACATGAAGAAAAATACACAGCTTAATAGATATACGCACTACTTGCACTAATTGGAGGTTTCTGTTTGTAGTTCTGCAAAAAAAGAATTTAATGGCATTCACCTGTTTCACAATTAGCTCTCAAAGCTATTTTTCTGTTTCCAATATAGATATCTTGTCCATCAATTTTCCCATGAATGCCTTCCCCAGGAAAATTTTGAAACTCCTCCACATTTTCAGGTTTTGGCTCAACCGAATGCGATCTTCCATAGTCAACCAGTGCATCTGCCATTGGATGACTTGACTTCCTCTCAATGCTTGCAACCCTTCAAACAAATTTTGAGAAATATTAACAGACTAACCAATATGAACTGTGAAGCAATGTAAAACAGAGTTTTGTTTGTGTTTTTTTCCAGTATGTTGACGAATAAGAGTTGTAGTCTGTACCAGTAAAGCATTGTGTTCAAGCTAATGTCATCACGAAGAGACTGAAAATCCATCACCACAAATTCACCACTTGTTATTGTACCAGTTTTGTCAAAAGCCATGATCTTGACTTTAGCCAGAATCTCAATGTAGTCACCCCCTTTGATTAGAAGACCAGACGTTGCCGCTTTTGTAAGGGTACAGAAAGTCACAACAGGTGTAGAGAGGATGAGAGCACATGGACATGCGCTCACTAACACAACCAAAGCTAAGTGAAACCATTTGCTCCAATTATGGACATGCAATGCCGCTGGAATCACGGCCATAGAAACAGATATGACTAGGACGGCTGCAGAACGACACCAGGAAATGTATGAGTGGAACTGTTTGCATGCTTTTAAGTATTAAAAGAACAGGGGAAATTGGTTAATAGTAGAAAAGAGAAAAAGAAATATATGGAAGTTTCCATAACATAATTTCTAAGACCAGGAGATCAAATGCATAGAAAGTACACTAACCTGGGGTATAAAATTTTGCACATTTGTCAATGAATCTCTGAGTTCTGGTTTTGCTGTTTTGAGCCTCTTCCACAAGTTTTGCCATTTTAGCAACGGCGCAGTCTTCAGCTAAGGCTGTAGTTTTCACACTAAGGTAACCTTTAAAAGAAAAACCAGATTTGTCAGGAAAAAGGAAACAGAAAATAAACATAACTCTTTATTGTTCATCTTCTGATAGAGGGAGGGAAGGAGGGAATGAGATTTATGTTACCATTGAGATTGATGGTGCCAGCCCAAACAGTTGAGTCCTTTTCTTTGGCAACTGGATAGGATTCTCCAGTTAGTGTCTTCTCATCCACTTCACCTTTGCCTTCAACAACTATCCCATCAATTGGGATAACTTCACCAGCCTTAACAGCAACAGTTGTGTTCAACTTGACCTCGTCGACATCCACAACCTCACCAGTTTCTGCTAAGATTGCTTTTTGAGGAGCCATGCTCATCAACGACGACATCACGGCTTTCGCCTGAGTACATAGGATGATCGGAATTTACAATCTTAAATTATTGGTCTTTCAAACATGGTGATAAGGGCATGAAATGAGGTTCCTTCTTAAATGTTTCATAAAAAGATTGATTTATTCTCTAGTCAAGAAGCAATGGGGGCAAATGTTGGAAAGTCATAAAGCACTATGCAAGATTACAAGAGAAGGATGAGTTTTATGCTAACCCTGTGACCTGCCCTTGACTCAAGCCACTCTGCAATGGTGAACAGAAAGACAATAGTTCCAGCTTCCATATAGTCATTCAAAGCAATTGTCCCAATCACTGTGAAAAGAACGTTACATCATGTATCAGTTACCAATACTAGTATATAACAAACTAACACCTATGAACCAAAAAGAAAAAAAAAACAGAGCTATTATCTATATAGATATACAAACAAACACAAATAAAGTATTGTACATTTCTTCAAGCATCTAATATTTTTCCTGCAAATTCTAGATATAGCATTAAGGTTTGGCCAAGAGTTATGTACCCCATGATTTCATCCTGAGGCTAAGAGCACTTCCACTCATTTGCCATGGCAAAGGGCAAGGGGAGGCAAGGGCAGATACTATTCACGTGAATAGTGGCAGCCCTTGCAAAAAGCAAGGTGTGTTTCCACCCATTGCCATGGCAACCACTATTCACATGAGATACAAGGAGAGGATTTTGTATAGAGTTTTGAAGTGGGAAGTGAAGAATATGACTAAGTATTTATTTTTAAAAATCTGAAATTTATAGATTTTTTTCCATTGTTGACATCATCGCTGACATAAGCAAACTCAGGCAACAACCCAGGTTGGTTTTGCCTTTGGGCTGGCCTGATTTGCTGGGACCCAGCTGCTACCCAGGCAGCTTAGGCCGGCCGGAACTCCAAAACTGCACTTGGGCCCTGTCCTGCCGTGGCAACAGGCTGTTGCTGGAACTGCTCTAAGTTACTAGACGATCAACCTTTCAAATAGCCTAATGATCAACTAATGAACTGAATAGATTATTTAATTTGGCTTCCAGCAAGGGCATGCAATTTATTAGTCAAAATAAAAAATAAAATTATGGGTTCTTTTATATTTGATATTACACCATAACAATTAAATTAATCTTATAAAAATAACCCATAAAACTGTTCTTTCTCACACAAAAAAAGGTACATAAAACTGTTCCAATTTTCTAAAACTACCATCTTCGAAAGTAAACTCCACTTAAATTTACCATCTTGGAAACTAAGAACTGATTGGCCCGCTAATTTTTTTTTATCTAACTGCTTTGCTTTTTTTAGCCAAATTAAATGATTTTCAATGTTGGTTATTTTGTCTATCTTCGGTATATTTTTTTTCTATATATTACAAGCCACATGAGAGAGAGAGAGAGAGAGAGTAAAAAAAACAAATGCAACGAAATGGAATTCAATGAGGTGATGAAAGTAGGAGTAGGAAATGCAATAGAGGACTAAATTAGGCAGGTAGCTAAGCTAGTCAAAACATATGGGGCACGAAATGGAGAGCCAAGAGGTTAGGCATCAACAAAAATGGAATGCCAAAACATGAGCTAGATGGGCCAACGAAATTATTAGACTTCAAGCCTAACAAGAAATGGGGAAGCAGAATATGTCATCTGCTGATAGGAAAAACAGACACGAAAACTGATACTTTTGACAAAATCCATTCGGACTCTTCGACCTATATACTATGCATATCCATTCAAAGTGCAAAAGGCCAAGGACTACATAAATTTAGGTATTTGTTGCATGCATCATCAAAATCATGTACTGCGTAAACGTGACGTTTGGATTGCCATTCACAAATTAAAGATATCTTTGCTAAGGGAATTCTGATGTGTTGCAATTTTTTTCAACAAAAAGCCAAATAAAAAAGATGGAGTTTTGGATATAACCCAAGACAAAAAAGAAAAAAAGGAAAAAAAAATAGATGGGGTTTTGGTTAGTTCGGTGTGGCGGTGTGGGGGTGTGGGGAACCAATTTTGGAAGTCCATTTTGTAAAAATGAACAATCTTGTAATTTGCAAAGAAACACTATTATAAAGCAGCGGACCCAACTTTAGTAGTGTACAAATAATATTAGTTTGACCAATAATTTAAAGGGAAACCAAGTTTGATTTATCCCATGTTATACCAAGCTTTTGATCATAATCATGATTTGAATTTGATGTAAAAAAGAGCCGGGTTCGCTATTCCGACCAACTGGTCTAACTATTCTTTTATATAAAAAAAAAAAAACTGGCCTAACCATATGTACTAAGTGAATGTATCATTAATAATGCTAATATTACTGACTAAGTAAAACATAATATGTAAAATGCAATGGAAAAAGAAAAGAAAATATTAATGTTAAAAATTTGACGTACCAGCAACGATAACAAGAATGTTGATGTCTAGCCTAAGATGCCGAATGGCCGCCACGCCTTTCATGGCAATGGGGAAAATGCCAACGACCACCGCTCCAAGAGCCAACCACCCCAATGGCCGATATGCATACTTCAAAAATGATAGCAAAAGTAGCACGCCACTGGCGATTGCATATGGACTTGGCCACTTTTTCTTGAAATTGTCCTCTGCCCCATACAATCTCACATTTGCTTCTAGCCTTGCTTGGTTTAATGCCTTAACTGCCGTCATCAAGAACCCATAAATTAATTATGAGAATATTGAATACATGTGAATTTGAAAATCAATTCTGATTAATGATTCAGTTTCACAATCTCACAATATAAACATCTGATTATCATCGGGATAATCAGAAAAATACATGTAATTACAGAGAACAAAATTAAAATTTTAAAGAGAAAATAGAAAAAGAAAGAAAATGGTTTTCATTGTCTTTTAACAAGGGCATTTTGGTCCACAAAATATGATATTGTTTAAATTATTTGATGTGCCGTATTTATCCATAAAATATAATTAAATGTAGGTTTCGTTGTCGTATTAATTTCTTCAACTACCAGAAATGTGATTATACGCTTGTCGGAAAGTGTTTCTTCATAAAAGAGTTTCCAAGTAATAATTTTGTAAAAATTTTCTGCTAAATAAAGCAATAAGTACTTTTAGTTATCTGAAAGCAGTTTTAGCTTTTCTAAGCTCTATCTCTCCGCAAGTAATTGAGATCACCGTGGCAAGTGAATTCTCCTATAAATTAGGTGTGGGTCACGCACGATACAAAGTGATCTCACACAACTCTTTTAAGAGTCGGCACAGTGTGACGAGTGTACAGATACAAATAACTTTCCGTGAATAAATATCCTAAATATTTTTTTTTTCTTCTAAAATTTTGCCTTGTAACTATAGTCAAGACTCACACCAAGGGTGTGAGATATCTAACAATTAATATTATACATGGAGCAATAAGTAGGTAAAAACGTACGAAGAATAATCACCAATCAAAAGCTAATCTTTAACGTACAAAGAAGTTAAAAAAGAACAAAGATTGAGAACAGTTACGTACAACAAAAGTTGATGGGGGGGTTTCACAATGCAAAAGATGCTTTTGCTACAAACCAATCATCAAAATAATTGCACAAGTTTTAAGAAAAATGCAAACTTTATTTTAAATAATTTGAAAAGCAAATAGTACGTATATGAAAGTTGGGTAAAGCAATAAAGCATCTAAAAAGCGTCATCCTCCTCTCTCTTTTCTTGCCGATTCACCAATCACTACTACCGCACCAAGAGTTACATGGCCACCGACTTTCTTTCTTCCCTTTTTTTTCTTTTTCGTCGAACCGTTTGATTTTTGTTGTGCAAGCAATACCAGAAATCTACCACAAAATGGCACAAATATATTAAAGAGAGGGCAACGTATAGGTCGCTTGCTCACGCTAGAGAGGCAACGTATAGGGTCTCAATCAATGACTGAAAACAGCTCACTCGCGCGCGTATTAATGAAGAAGGAAAAATGTTAAGGATTTGTAACAATCATGATTAAGAAGACAGGAAAAGGTCCTAGTCCCATCTGTGGCCCATGGGGTATTGCAGGGCTCTATGGTGATTGGACAGGCAAGAGCCTTGAAAATCAAGCAGCACTTGTTACAATTAATGGAACAAAAACAACATTAACTCGAGAGAAAATTAATTATTTGGATACTTACCAATTTGAATCTGGGAAATGAGGAGGCTGTCATGGACAACAATGACAGTTTTAGAAGGCACAATTACTGACACCTCTTTCACACCTTCAAGTGGCTTCAGGATATTCTCAACCAGAGGAACTTCTGATGAACAGCACAACCCCAGCACATCAAAGTAGCTTTTCTGAAACTTTTTGGCTGCTGCCTTGTCCTTGTCTTGGGCAGCCATAATGATTTTCTACCAACTTCTGCAACTACAGAGGACATAAGAATGAGAAATAATTACTTTTTCTGTTGGGTTTATTCTTCTTCCAGCATGGCCATTGGCAGAGCATGGAACAAAATTTGTGCTAAACTATTTTGTAAAAATTAAAGTTCTGCAAATCAAAGGGTCAGAAATTATTTGTCTGAGAGAGAGAGAGAGAGAGAGAGAGAGAGAGAGAGAGAGAGAGTTGTGAAAGAAAGATGGTGACTTGTGAAGGTAGAAGTAGAAAACCAAAACCAAGTTGTATATTCTCAATGATAGAAGATCAAATTCAAAACTCAAAATGAAGAACTGAAGAGGGCTGGTAAAAAACAACCACCTTGTAGCTAATGGAAGGCTTGGAGTTTCTTGAAGCTTTGAATTCAGAGTGAGCAGCAAGATGCAGGGGTTGGAAGTTTTAATAAGTAGATGGAAGCTGTGGTGGGTTGGGTTCATTTAAGAATAGAGAAGGAATGTAACTTATAAAGACTTGTACACAGTAAGAGCATCCGCAATGGGCTCCATAAATCACCTCCTTAGACAAATTTTAGGGAGGAATTGTAAAAATGCAACTCCAACCATGCTCCCTATCCACCTCCTAAAATAGGGAGTCCTTTAGGAGCTCCTAAATTTGAGGAGAGAGAAAGTACTTCTAGTGGCTCCCTATAATTTAATGCTGCCTTATTTAATAAGTATTTCAAACATTTATTTAATGCTAATTATTTTTTATTTTATTTTTTAATAGAGATGGACCAATCAAAAAAGAGTTATAGCATTTATGACTCTCCAAATTAGGGAGTATGGTTGGAGTTGAAATTTTTTAGAGAGCTCCTAAAATAGCTTTCTTTATTTTTAGCAAAATTTTAGCTAAGAAATAGAAAGCATCATTGCGGATGCTCTAAGATATCTGATATTAATGAAGAATTCTCCCAACTAAAACAATCTTTCCTTGGTTGGAATAATTGTTTCACCTTTCTATTGTGGGTGAGACACAAATAGTGGAGAATCAATTGGGGGGAAAAATATGGAATCCACATGTGAATCCACACATATAAATGCTTGTTTTAATAGCCTAGGTATATGTGCTCAACCATATTGAAATTTTAAATATATAAATATATTGTACCATTTCATTGTGAGATTCCCCAAATAATTTTATTTAACTGCTCCAGATACCAAATTACCACCTCAAACTTCGCTATCTAATTGAAATACCTTAATAATTTTCAATTGTAAAAAAAAATATTGTCCTCTCTTTGCTACTTTTTCTTTTGCTTGTCTTTTTCCTTTTTGATGTTAGCCTCAAAAGTGTATTTGACCGAGCTCTTCTGGCATCAAGTTTCTTTAAAAATGGTACCCGTAAAAAAATACATAGGAAATTTGATTTTGGTAGAAAACAAATGTCATGTGCATGCATTTTGTGTAGTTTTTGTCCTCTTGGGTGTTTACTTTTGTTTCACTTTTCAGCTTTGACCTAGATGAAAAAATAAAAACAAAATTAATTTACTTTTAATATTGAAACTATTTTTTCAAACATATACGTATAATCTTTTTTATAATCTTTTAAAACTCGAAGCAGTTGTTTTCTGCCCAATTATGAGGCCTACTTCTAAAGCAACCATTTACAAGCTAGAATTCTAAGAAAAAGACCCGGTGAGTAGCGCACTTTCCCTTTCAGGTATCTGATGTTATGCACAGCTGATATCTCCTTGTAAAAGTTTTACGATAGGGATACCAAACGTGACCTTTAACCAATGAAGCAGTTTGGGCGTAAAATTTTATATCGTAATTGCGCTAGTGCTATACCTAACACTTCCCTTCTCTTCATCTAAATGCCTGCATCAACAGAAGTAAGTGGTGCCATAGTCAAGGGCAACCAGGAATTTTTCAGCGGATGGGTTTGCTATACTTATTAGCTTAAAATTCAATTATCGTTTTTTTTTTTACTTACAATTTCTATAGACTTTATATAAATAAAAGTATATATTAGTATAAATCACGCTAGTTATAAACACAAGAAAAACAAAATGGAATTAGAGCCATATTATTCACGAAAGGAATAATTTCATTTAGAAAAATGGTTCTTTTTTGGAGACAAATCAATGAAATAAAATAAAATTGGAGAGTTAGAGCTAAGGACTTTACCCTTATTGTGGGTTATTGGTGTTGGGATAGTCTTTGACACCATATACAATCGTGAAAAACCTCTGACTATGCGTATTGGTGTTGCCAATATATAAAATTGTGTATTATTTATTTATTTTTAGGTTAAGATACTGGCTTATATAGGTTTGAATTTTTTTAAAACCAAAATCATCACTGTGCTACAGCCCACTGGAGCCTATATAGTGGTTCCGCCCATGGCCATAGTAATTCTATACTAAAAATATCATTTTTGTGTATTTTTCAATGAAGATAATCATCCTTTGGGGATTCCTAGAGGATCCTCTTTGTAATTTCTTTTTGCGTAAAAAAACATAATTTTTGTTCTTTCTAATTAATGTTAATCGTTGTACACTAGTCCATTAATGATTTATGAGTTATTTCTTAATTGTATCATAGTTATTATTATACAAGGTTAATCAAAATTAACATGTTTAGTATACACCACATATCACAGGCGTATCCGATCATGGTGCACTTGGGGTCAATGGCAGACCCATAAATTTTTCTAGGGATGGGCTAATATTTTTTTTTGGGAGATCTTTATATATATATATATATATATATATAGAAAAAAACTAGAAACCACGAGGGCACGCAGGCCTAACTAAATCAAAATAAAACGGAGTAGAGCAACTTAAAGGAAGCCCCTGCTCCCAAAGGTGGGAAGGGTTAAGATTATTACCTAAATTAGCTAAAGCATCAGTAGTGAAGTTAGCTTCTCGAAAGACATGCTGGAAAGAAACCTCTTCACAGTAGGAACTCAGCACCTTATATCTTGCACAAAGAGATGTATACTCCAAGGGACCGAAGCTTTTTGGTTGATACAGTTAATGATGAGTTTGGAGTCTCCTTTAACCATAACTTTACGCCAACCATTGTAGATTGCATGGGCCAGGCCATCCCGAAGCGCCAGACACTCCTCAATAGTAATCGACACTTGACCTGAGTTCTTGGCTCCTGCTAGCCGAACATTTCCATTCCAATCACGGATAACAAAACCAGTAGCAGCCAGGTTACCACGCATCGAGCCATCAAAATTCAATTTTATCCAATCTAAGGGTGGCGGTTTCCACTTGATAGCAAGCTCACCTTTTTTTTTTTTTGGTGCAAAGGAGGGCTAACGCCCAAACAAAGAAACAGCAACTATAAGGGAATTAAACGAGGACTAGCCACATTGCTAGTATCAGCAGTAAGGACAGTACTAAGAAAGGCAGGCTCCGAGTCAAAAATATGAGGTCCAAGAGGGAGATCATAGCTTTTGGTAGCCAGAAGATCAGCATCACGATTTTGCTCACGGTAGATATGGGTAAGAGAGCAATGGAATTGATTTTACAATAGTCCAGACCATTCTGACTAGCAACATTAAGGGCTCTAACCGGATGAAGGGCAATATCTTTGAAAACACAATTGTTCCGAGCTTCCCAAATTTGCCAGCAGAGGAGAAGAGCTTTAGAAAGAATATTCTGGCCATCCTTATCCCTCGTGTGTGGGAGCATAGCTAACCACCCAATACCATCAAAATTCTGGTGTGAAGGCGTAGGGATTACTGAAGTACACCTCCATATTTTAGCTTCAAACTGGCATTCAAAAAATAAGTGATTAATAGTCTCCACATGATCATTACAGAGAGGGCATCATGGATTGATATGAGGTAAATATTTGTATATATGACTTCTAACTTGTAATCTTTTTCGAATGAATAACCAAGAAAAGAGCTTGACTTTAGAGGGCAGAGTTAAACTCCACATTTTCTTTAGTAACAAAGCTTTAGGAAGGATTGGCTCATCCTGTAATTGTAAATTATAAGCAGATTTGATAGAAAACTTCCCATTAGGGTTGGGCCCCCAAATTAACTCATCCTGTAGAAGAGACAAAGGGAGAGGAATAGTTAGAATTTTCTCTAGAATATCTTCATCAACCTCTTGAAGGAGTTTATCACGCTGCCAAACCTAGTTCTGAATAAAATCTGCAACTTTAGCATTCAAATTGAGATTACTTCTATGGAAAACAGGAATTAAATCTAACAAAGGAAAAGGGAAGACCCAATTTGCAGTCCAAAAAGGAATGGATTGCCCATTACCTACAATCCATCTTATACCTTTGTGAAGCATTGTTCGAGCATCAAGGATGGCCTTCCAAGTCAAAGAATGAGAAGTCTTTTTCTCAACAGAGAGAAAGTAGTTCTTACTTAAGTACTTCTTATCCATAATCTGAGCCCACCAATTGGAAGGATCAGTCAAGCAAATCCAGCCTAATTTTGCTAAAGCTACCTTGTTAAAATGAGCAGCATATCTAACCCCTAGATCCCCTAAATTTTTAGGCAAACAAATATCTTTCCAAGAAACTGTTTGGGCCTTCCAACAGGCAAACTTAGAGCGGATTCTTTCTATCATCAGTTTGGCATTAGCTGGATCTTTCCAAAAAAATGATATTGTGTATGCCAAGGTAACGACCTAAAATGGCCTTATGTTGAATCAGCAGAAGGTTACTTAGAGCAGCTCTCACTTGGGAATGAACATTACCAGAGAAATAAATAGTGGACTTATGCAAGTCAATTTTCTGTCCTGAGACTTTAGAAAAATTATCTAATAATGAGTTGATATTTCTGGCAGCCACATCAATTTCCCAGGCAAAAATAAGACAGTCATCAGCAAAAACCAGATTAGAAATTCGGTCGCCTTCAGGGGAAGAGAGAAAACCCATATTAGCTTTAGGATTCTTAGCAAGATTATTAAAGTGCCTAATAAAAGGCTCCATACACAAAATAAAAATATAAGGAGATAAAGGATCTCCTTGCCGAAATCCCCTAGAAGCATTGAAGTGGCCATAGGGAGATCCATTAATTAGAAAGGAGAAGGAAGTACTAGAGACACAATTCATGATTCAATCACAACAATCAATACTAAAACCAAATTGAGACAGGTAGCCTCCAATGTACCCCCAGTCAAGAAGGTCATAAGCCTTTTCAAGGTCAAGCTTAATAGCCATAGCTCCCCAGGTACTTTTCTTACGTTTGAAATCATGGAATAATTCATGAGCGATGAGAATGTTGTCAAAAATGGATCTTCCAGGAGCAAAAGCTCCCTAGTTTTTGGATATACACTTCGAAAGAATGGCCCTTAGTCGACTAACAAGGATTTTAGTGATTATACGAAACATTACATAAACTAATTGGCCTATAAGAGCATCTCCAGCGCAGCCCACCAAACCGGGCAAAAGGCCCCCCAGGGCAAGGTTTGGCCCTCCAGCGCTGCAGCCTGCAGCCTAGTTTCGCCTGGGTCCCACCAGCCCG